TCCACTGTAAGCATGCATAGCAGATTGAGGGAATCTGAAGATAGACTATCAGATATAGAAGACAGGATTGTGGTTAAGGACCATGAAAACAGAGATTTCTTAAAAATAGCAAGGGACCACAAGAAATCAATCCAGCAGCTACTAGATGATGCAAGGAAGAAGAACATAAGACTGATAGGAGTCCACGAAAAAACAGGAGAAAATACAATTGACATTAAAAAACTGTTCTCAGAAGTAATAGTAGAAAACTTCCCAGACAGAGGTGGAGAATTGGACATTCAGACAAGTAAGGCATATAGAACTCCAATTAGCCATGATCAAAAAAAATCTAAGCCTAGACACATAATAATTAAGATCCCAGAAACCCAAAAGAACAAAATCCTACAAGCAATTAGAGAAAAGAAACAAATCACCTATAAAGGAAAGCCTATCAGAATCACGGCAGATTTTTGAACACAAACCCTCAAGCCAAGGAGAGCCTGGAGTTAAGTATTTCAAGCCCTAAAAGAAAATAACTTCCAAACTAGACTGTTGTATCCTGCAAAATTATTTTTCAAAATCTATGGGAAAATTAGATACTTTCAGGACAAAGAATACCTGAGAAATTTCATGAATACCAAACCAGCATTCCAAACAATCTTAAGCAATATCCTAGAAAAAAACACAATGAAGATCACAACTCCATGAGGCCCCACAGAGGGAAGCCACCAGGCCAGGTAAGAAAATAAAGCAAAAGGAAAAAACAACCACAAGAAATAAAAGAATCACCAATAGTAAAACATCATGACAAGGATGAGTCCATACCTATCAATTATAACTATCAATGCTAATGGTCTCAATTCACCAATCAAAAGAAATAGACTGACAGAATGGATTAAGAAGCAATATCCAACAATATGCTGTATACAAGAAACACACCTAACTCAAAAAGAAATACATAGACTGAAAGTAAAAGGATGGAAAACAGTTCTCCATGACACAGGAACCCAGAAAAAAGCAGGGGCAGGAATTCTATTTGCAGACAAACTAGATTTAAAACTGAAATTAGGGCCAGGGATTTAGCCCAGTGGTTCCGTCACCTGCCTCACAAGTGCAAGGACCCAAGTTCGATCACTGGTACCAAAAATTAAAAAAAGTAAAAAAAAAATAAAACTGAAATTAATTAAGAGAGACAAAGATGATCATTACATCCTTGCAAAGGGAACAGTCCAAGAGGAAGAGATGACAATAATAAATATACATGCACCAAATAAAAATGCCCCCAACTGTACAAAACAAATATTAATGGACATGAAAAACCAAATAAGCTCTAATACAATTGTAGTAGAGGATCTCAATACCCCTTTATCACAATTAGACAGATCATCTAGACAAAAAATTAACAATGCAATTCTAGAATTGAGCTAAGCTACTGAACAAATGGACTTAATAGATGTTTACAGAGTGTTCCACCCCACAAAATCAGAATACACATTCTTTTCAGCTCCATATGGGTCATTCTCTAAAATAGACCACATGCTAGCTCATAGGACATGTCTAAGTAAATGTAAAAGAAATGAAGTTACCCCTGTATATTTTCAGACCATAGTGCACTAAAATTGGAGATCAATGACATAAGAAACTGCAAAACTCCCACAAACACCTGGAAATTAAATAACACCCTCCTGAACAACCAATGGGTCACAGAGGAAATTAAAGAAGAAATTAAACAGTTTCTACAAGTAAATGATAATACCAGTACAACATACAGGAATCTATGGGACACGATGAAAGCAGCTCTACATGGGAAATTCATAGCAGTTAAT